TGAGCTTTATTTTTCATTCTTTTTCAGGAAGACTGGTTAGGTCTATCTGCTTCTCAGGGTTTGCCTCTGTGATCTTGGTCTGTATCTATTTCTTCTGCCTTTTCATGGCCATAGATATATTTTTGGGGAGCTGGCATGTGTGTTGGGTAAGAGAAAGTCCTTTCTTGTTAGTTTGTGGCCTTCCTCTCCTGGGGGAACAGCGGCCTCTAGCGGCTTGTGCTGGGCAGCTGTGTGCAGACGGGGCTTCTGATCTTGCCCGGCTGCTATGGAGTTTATTTAGCTCCACAGTTGCTGTGGGCGTGGCCTGCCTCAGGCTGCTGCTCCAATATGGCAGAGCCGTGTTGGAGGGGGAACAGGTGGGAGGCTGTTTATTGCAGTGAGGGGCCTCTGAGCTGCATTGCGGGGTTTCAGGTACCAGAATTACCTGGGATATGCAGCTGCTGGGCTAAGTGTCTCAGGGCACTTCCGTCCAGCTGTGGGGTCCCTGTCCCTTTAAGACTTTCAAAAAGCACTCGCTTTTCTTTGTCTGAGGGCGCCAGCTGCAGGGACCCACTCACAAGTCTTACTGTCCTGTTTCCCTAGTTTCCAGCACCCCAAGCATGCACTGTGTCTGCACTCTGGTGCAGATTGCTAGGACTGGGTGTTCAGCAGTCCTGGGCTCCCTCTCCTTCCCCGCCTCCAACTCCTCTTCTCCTGCTGGGAGCTGGGGTAAGGGGCACTCGGGTCCCGCCCGGCCACAGCTTGTATCTTACCCCCTTTGTGAGGCGCTGGTTTCTCGTGGGTGTGGATGTAGTCTGGTTATTGTCCTGTGTCTTCTGGTCTCTCTTTTAGGACTTGTTGTATTTGTTGTATTTTCAAAAATATATATGCTTTTGGGAGGAGATTTCCGCTGCCCTACTCATGCCGCCATCTTGGTTCTCTCTGTCCTTACTTATTTTCTGTCTGGTGGATCTGTCCTTTGGAGTGAATGGTGTGTTGAAGTCTCCTAAAATGAATGCATTGTATTCTATTTCCTCCTTTAGTTCTGTCAGTATTTGTTTCACATGTGCTGGTGCTCCTGTTTTAGGTGAATATATATTTATAATGGTTATATCCTCTTGTTGGACCGACCCTTTGATCATTATGTAATGTCCTCCTTTATCTCTTGTTACTTTCTTTGTTTGAATTCTATTTTGTCTGATACCAGTACTGCAACACCTGCTTTTTTCTCCCTGTTGTTTGCATGAAATATCTTTTTCCATCCCTTGACTTTTAGTCTGTGCATGTCTTTGGGTTTGAGGTGAGTGTCTTGTAAACAGCATATAGATGGGTCTTGTTTTTTTATCCGTTCAGTGACTCTGTGTCTCTTGATTGGTGCATTCAGTCTATTTACATTGAGGGTGATTATCAATAGGTATGTACTTATTGCCATTTCAGGCTTTAGATTCATGGTTACTAAAGGTTCAAGGTTACTTTGCTTACTATCTAAGAGTCTAACTTAATTCACTCAGTATGCTGTTACAAACACAATCTAAAGGTTCTTTTCTGTTTCTCCTCCTTTTTCTTCCTCCTCCATTCTTTAAATATTAGGTATCATATTCTGTACTTTTTATCTATCCCTTGATTGACTTCGGGGATAGTTAATTTAATTTTGCATTTGCTTAGTAATTGGCCGTCCTACTTCCTTTCCTGTGGTTTTATTACCTCTGGTGACAGCTGTTCAACCTAAGGAAGCCTTCCATCTATAGCAGTTCCTCCAAAATAGACTGTAGAGATGGTTTGTGGGAGATAAATTCTCTCAGCTTTTGCTTACCTGGAAATTGTTTAATCCCTCCTTCAAATTTAAATGATAATCTTGCCAGATAAACTAATCTTGGCTCCAGACCCTTCTGCTTCATCGCATTAAATACATCATGTCACTCCCTTCTGGCTTGTAAGGTTTCTGCTGAGAAGTCTGATGTTAGCCTGATGGGCTTTCCTTTGTTTGTGATCTTATTTCTCTTTCTGGCTGATTTTAATAGTCTGTCCTTATCCTTGATCTTTGCCAATTTTATTACTATATGTCTTGGTGTTGTCTTCCTTGGGTCCCTTGTGTTGGGAGATCTGTGGATCTCCATGGCCTGAGAGACTATCTCCTTCCCCAGACTGGGGAAGTTTTCAGCAACTACCTCCTCAAAGACACTTTCTATCCCTTTCTCTTTGTCTCCTTCTTCTGGTATTCCTATAATGCAAATAGTGTTCCTTTTGGATTGGTCATACAGTTCTCTAAATATTCTTTCATTCTTAGAGATCCTTTTGTCTCTCTATATCTCTGCTTCTTTGTATTCCTCTTCTCTAGTTTCTATTTCATTTATCATCTCCTCCACTGTATCCAACCTGCTTTTAATACCCTCCATCATGCTTGTCAGTGATTGGATCTCTGACCTGAATCCATTCCTGAGTTCTTGGATATTTTTCTGTACGTCCATTAGCATGTTGATTATTTTTAGTTTGAACTCCCTTTCAGAAGACTCATAAGGTCCATGTCATTTAAGTCTTTCTCCGGAGTTATATTAATTTTACTCTGGACCAGGCTCCTTTGGCGTTTCATATTTGTATATGGCACCCTCCAGTGTCCAGAAGCTCTATTTTGGAGCTGCTCAGCCCCTGAAGCAATGTCAGGGGTTACAGGGGTGCGGTATTGGTGCTTGGCAGGGGGAAAGAGCTGTTCCCGGCTTCCCAGCTGCTTTGCCTGTCTCCAGTGCCAGAACCAGTGGGCCGAGCACACAGATATAAGCTTTCGTCTTGGAGCAGCAGGATATGGATCCCTGCTTTCCACAAACAGCCAGAATCCAAGTCTCCCCAGGAACTCCGCCTGTCACAGCGTTCCAACCATGTAATCAGAAGAGTATGATGAAAGCACCATGAAATGTAGGTTTGTGCTCCCAGCGCAGATCTCTGGAGCTAAATATTCAGCAGTCCCAAGCCTTCCACTCCCTCCCTGCTCCGTTTCTCTTCCTCCTGCCGGTGAGCTGGGGTGGGGGAGGGGCTCGGGTCCCCTGGATCCACAGCTCTGGTACGTTACCCCGTTCACTGAGGTCTGCTCTTTTCTCCAGGTGTGTGCAGTCTGGTGCCATCCTCTTTCCTGTTGCTCTCAGGATTAGTTGCGCCAGGTATATTTTCTAATTGTGTCCAGTTTTAGGAGGAAGCCTCTGTGTCTTCTCTCATGCCGCCATCTTTAATCCCTCCATTTTCTCTTTCTTTCACCATACTGTTTTGTTATATTAGGGAATGTATTTGTGAAAACAATCAATGACACCAATCACCATAACTAGAAAACTAGATTATTCCAGTATTCTTTCAGTGGAGTATACTAAACTTGCCTGGAAGTTGGTGTTATCATAATAATCAAATTGCATATAGAGAAAAATATTAGCGGATTCATAGATAGTGTTTACTTACAGAAGGAATTATACTCTTCATATCTTAATTATCTGTTGGGAGCAAACCTGTGGGCCTTTAGGCAGACTCGGTCACAAAAGCCTTAAGACAACAGCAACATTTGAGTGAAGTCTTTCCTGTAAAGTCAGCAACAATGAATCCATCCACGCATTAGAAACAAGTTTTCCCCTATTACCAAGAAACGCATTTAGTGAACTTCTAGGTTAGAGCTAGTGGTTAGGTTACCTCACAACATGTGCATTTCTAGGTTAGAGCTTGTGGTTAGGCTACCTTGCAACATGTGCTTTTTCTGTCCTTTGTTAATCAAGAAACACCCTCTGCCCCAGGGGAAAGCCCCTCCCTTAAAATCTCCCTCCCAAGGGCCCCCACCCCCAAAATGGCGAACTCCCCACTTCTCTTCCGAGTCCTCCGTTCCCGCCGGTGCCAACCAAGACCCAATCACCCCTCTACACCTCCCCGCCGGCGCCACCTAAGGTCCTATTATCTACTGACCCACCCCTTACTTGCTAATCTGTATAAATTGAGCCTGCAAACAATAAACTGTGCCAGCTTGATCAGACATCCTGTCTTGCTGGTCGTTCTTTGTGTCCCTTGCCTCTCTCTTTTTTTTTTTTTTCAATTCTCTCCTCCAGGTTGTCGACCCCCGTTGATAGTCCTACAGGTCGGGACAATTATCATACTATTTCTATGACATTTGGCTAAAACTGATACTATTAGCTATCAATTTAAAGTGATACATAAATATAATTACTCTAATAGCTTATGAGTAAAATTGTTTTTGATACCAGTTATTGGATCCAATAAACCAAGCATTGATGGTTTAGCAGTAATGTTTCTGTATGAAAAAAATTCTTATATATATGCAAATGAATAGCTTATTAACTAACTCTAATAAATATTGCACATAAATTTATTGTATAATCAAACCACCTTGTTGATTTTATTTTTCATTTTTATACACATTTCAAAGTATATAAATTTGACTCTCGATAGCATTAGAATTACCTTCTCATGATTTCCTGCCAAAGGAAAAAAATAAATGTGTGATTTGTTCTAAATATACTACTTTAAAATAAATATCTGCTACTTCCAAGAAATTGAGATCTACATTATCTACTCACCGTTGATTGCTATGAGAGTAATCTTGATGCAGTACAAAGAACACATCAGAAGATACGGATTTTTGGAGCTAAAGTAATGTCCAGCTGTAATCTTGGACAGGCCACCTAATCTCTTGAAGTATCAATTTCTTCTTAACTGTGTTGCATAATAAGTCCTTCCTTTTCTATAGTTCAGGCTTCTATAATGGTGAATTAATAAATTCTGACTCATAATTATTAACAATATGAACAAAGTACCTTGTAATATTCTGGGAAGTATCAAAAAGTTAGTAAGATGTGAGAAATATCTAGGCCAAATTTTTTTAAAGATTTTTTAAAAAACAAAAAAAATAACTCCGCACTCAATGTCTTCTTTGCCCTAGAGGCATATGCCAATTAAACAGGAACTCTTCAACCAAAATGAGCTGAGTTGAAGTCAAATTCTAGGGCCCACCAAATACAGGGCTATTCATGAACTACTTGTAACTCTAAGTGAGGTGCTGAAGAGATATGCTCTCAGGGTCAGGATGAACTCAAGTAAAAAAAATCTCATATGTGTTTTTAGAGCCTTGCTTCATGTCAACCGAATGGTCATGGGAAATCTCACTCCTAGAACTTCAGTTAGGGTGGGATGAGTGTGCTTGACAGAAATTTCCCTGGAGAAATATAGTATCATCATGGACTTCAAATTATTCCTGAAAATAATTTTGAAATTGAGTATGCAATGCAGAATTAAATATATCCAAGCAAACAAACATAAAATTGTTAAAGAAAGCAAGCTGAATCAACAATCAAAATAGTAAGACTCCACAAAATTCAGATACTACCAGTTACCATCCACAGAATGTAAAATAATTATTTTACCTTTTCCATTTAGTTCACACCCAAGATTGCAAATTTCATAGAGGAGTAGAGTTCTGTAAAACACACATTCTAAAACTAAAAAAAATATCAAAATCAAAACCTTCATGAATTGCTTATGTGATTTTATACAGCAGAAGAGATCATTTATAAGCTGAAAAATGGGTCCTATTGACTCATGTGTGACTTTGCAAACGAAGCATGGACAGTCAGAAAGACAGAAAATATAGGAAAAGAAATTCAACAGATATAGTCTGAAAATCCAATAGTCTTTTAAATGTTATACCAGATATAGAAGGGAGAGAATGTGAGAAAGGAATACTTAAAAAAATATACTAGTAGAGTGGTTTTTACAGAGATGATGAAAGATACCAAGCTACAAATAAAAGAACCCCACACATAATTTTTGAAAAGTTTATAAATAATAAATAGCTTGAAAGAAATCTACATGTTAGCACAGCAAAGCAGAAGTGTAGTCAACCAACAAAACAAAATGAAGCAACAGAAATGGAGAAAATCTTAAAGCAATCAGAGAAAATAAGAGTACCTTCACAGAAGTATGTGTCATACTGACAACTTACTTCTCAATAGTGAGACTATACATTCTAAGTCAGTGGAAGGATATTATCAAAATGCAGCTCAAAAGTGTTTGTCAACCTAATTCTATGACCACAAAAATATTATTTAAGAATAAAGGAGAAAGAGATATATTCAGATACTCTAATTTTTATTAGAGTTAATAACTAACTCTGGAAGTTGGTGTTATCAGAATAATCAAATTGCCTATAGAGAAAAATATTAGCGGGTTCATAGATAGTGTTTACTTACAGAAGTAATTATACTTTTCATATCTTCAGAATGAAGACAGCTTGTTATTAATGGAACACACTAAAAGATACTTTGACATCAGACAAAATAAAAATGCATGTGAACGTTTAAGATGCAAGAGGAAGCAAAGAGCAAGAATTTGGCAATAGGTGGGTAAATCTTAATACACTTGGATATTTTGAAATAGGAAGATAAATGGCATTAAAATATAAGAAAACAAACCACAAGTTAAGAAGAGAGAAGAGGATAGGTTCTAATTCTCATAAGCTCTTTTTATGGTCTAAGAAGTAAAGACTTAGAATTGGCCTTTGGTAAGTTCATTAGTCTTTGTGAACTTAAGAACACATATTGTAATTATTAAGGTAATTAAAGACTAGAAACAGTATAACTTATTAATTATTATAGGAAAGAATTAGAGTAATTGAAAGATCAATCAATCTGAAGTCAAAAAGGAGGATGCATGAAATAAGGTGGTACAGTGAAACCCATTATTTTAGCAATTACAGTAAATACTAGTGATCTAAATGATCTGCTTGCAGGACCAAGACTGTCAAATTAAAACATAAGCAGAAAATTTTAAAGTAAATGGATGGAAAATATACATTCTGAAATAATATCTATAAGAATTGCTAGGTAAAGAAGGTCATATCATTACAAAAAGGGTTTAAGTCACCGGGAAAATAAAACAACCCTAAAACTGTATGGATTTACTAACATGGCCTTAAATATATAAATAAAGTATTAATAGAACTACTGGGGAAAACACACAAGTTCATAGCCACAGGGAGAGATTTAAAACTACCTTTCTGAAACTAAGAGAACAGACAAAAATAGTAAGGTATAGAGGACTGGAATAACAATGCATTTAACTCAAGAGACCTCTAAAGAAGAGGGAAATAAGCAAGTGTACAGTATCAGTTTTCTTTTTTTAATTGACCAAGTGTTGCCCCATAGATAAGTCTCAAAAAAAAATTAGAGAATTTAAATCACACATTTGGACTCTCACCACGATGCAAGAATGTAGGAAGTCAATAAGAAAAAGACAAATAAAATATTCTTCTTTGTGTAGAAATATAAAAAATTCCTTAGAGACCTATGGTCTTTGTTTAAAAAACTATATACCTTTTATATATTCTCCACACTTAAACAATATTTATAGGAAATTGTATTTCCTCAAAAGCATACATTGGGTAAGAAGAAAGGCTGAAATAAGCATCTAACTCAAGAAATTCTCCCAAAAAAACTAGATGGCAGATAATAACAATGACAACAGAAACTGTGATATTCAAAAGATATGAACAAAAACCAAAAATTTAATTCTTTGAAAGGACCAGTAAATTTTTAAATCTCTGGAAAGACAAACGAGGATAACTGGAAGTTAGGTACAAGTAACTAAAGTCAGAATTGAGAAAGGGAAAACGTGGAGACCCTCTGACAGGAGAATGAGCTTTGATGAGTTAAGAAAGAACACTACGATTCTCGAAAAGGGTATTTTGAAAAACCTTGAACATAAAACATTTAATAATATTTAAATTGAATAGGTAAATCCCAAGAAATGTAACTTGCAAAACAAACACAGTAAGAAATGAAAATCTGAACCATTTTAAAACCATTAAAAAATTAAATTAGTAATAAATAATAGTCCTGGTAGGAAACCACACAGGCAATTTACATCAAACAGTCAAGAAGAAACATTTCTAAAACACAAAAATATGCCAGAGAATTGGAAGTGTACACCCTCCAATTATTTTCAGAGAAGCATAATCTTTATGACTGATCTGGGAGGAACAGTTTCAGGAAGGAAAACAGGACAGTCACCTTCAGAAAACTAAGATTACCATAATGAATAAATATTAGAAAAATATTATATATACCATGGTAAATATACATATATTTATTACCATTACACTATATATGTTAATATATGTAAGATGTATGCCCCACACATAACATATAGTACATATATACACTACATATATGTTATATACTACACAATGTTACATACTAACTACATATAAACATATGTAGTTGTGTGTATATATAAAAATACACATTTATATATACCATGGTGTGTATATATACACCATGACCAAGTTGGAAATAATATAAAGAAAACTATTTTATAAAAGTAAGTGAGTTTCACCATAGTAAGAGATGAAGGAAGTAAATCATATACCATCTCACTAGATGCAGGAAAAGCATTTAGTAAAAGTCACAGTAACAATTATTGATTAGCTGGTAATAGGTGGAACATGTGTAGCCAGATAAATTATGTCAATTAAGGATGTGTACAAATGCTGTAATTTTAAAGAAATACACAACATTGAATGCCATAAAACGGAGGATGGTGGTTACTGGGAAGATGGGTATGTGATCGATTCAGGGCAAAGGGAGAACACCTGACTCTTAAACATATTTATTGTATCTTATATTTCTGTCTTATGAAGTTATAGACTTGATTTTATCTGTATTATATTTAATTATAAAAGGGTTATTTTTAAAGTATTTGCAGGTTCAAAGATTTCAGCTATCTGTAAAGTTGAATTTATTGGTCAAATATAAAACTTTTATTTCTTCTTAATCTAAAATCAGCAACTTGTTAGCAACCCATATAACAATTACCATATCTGTACTAATGTAAACAGCATTCTTCATGGTGGATACTGAGCTAAAGGGAACATGGTCCTTACTTGAGACAAAACACTGAATTGATTACTTAAGCTCAGAAATTATTTTTACATAAAACAATCTAGTAATGAAC